GGTCTGGGATGCCATCCAAAGTAGGTCCCCCAGGTGAAACACCAATGGATTGAACTAAATCTAGCCTCCGCATTTTCTATTATAGCTCTTTGTGAACATTAGTTGAAAGTTCAGATAAGCAGCATAACTACCCATCATTCGGGGAAGGTCCCACCTTTTTCCTCCTTCTGCTGTGGCTACTTAATCCTAACAGTTTCTGAAATTTGCCACATTATCACAGTAATGGAAAAGAATCCAGAGTCTAAATGAGGAAAGCATTTTACCTCAATTGATTTCAGCCCTATACTGGAAGTATGTCATCAGAAAAGGACACTGTTCCATTTAGATTGCAGATACCACACAGAAATATCATTGGGGTGGGGTAACACTGTGCAGGATTACAATTAAGATGCCCATTAAGTGTGTGTGTGTGTGTGTGTGTGTGTGTGTGTGTGTGTTTATAATTGAGTTTTCAATTATAGCACGTTAAGACCCATAAAATGACAAAACACTGTACCAATGCAAAGAGGGTTTTCTAGCAGGATCCTTTTGGAATTAGAATGACCAAAATTAAAATTTGAATATTAAAATACTGTGGCACCAATATAATGTAGTGATTTTTCACTCAGTGAGTGCTAAGATTCTGGTCATTGTGCATGTATTTCCTGGTGCAGCAAGTCTTAGGGTACATTTTCAGGGCATCTTCTCATGCTGGTACTTCCTCTCCCCACACACAAAGACGTGTCCATGCATCCTCCACTTCAGCAAAGCCAGTGAAAAGCCAGCCATGCAGATTACCCAGCCCATTCTGCTCCATCTAATTCACTATGAGCTGTGTAGAAGGGAATGGAAGAGCATTTCATCTCCCAAACTTCTCAGACCCCTGCCTTCCCTCTCTCTTCATCATAACTTCTTGAGCCCATGATTTAAACATATGATCCCCTAAAAAACGTGAAGAGTGTTGTGACCCATTTTTGCCCTTGTCTCATATACTTTCATCCTTTTCTAAATAACAGACAAAAGGTACCATTGAGGGCATCCAAAAGACATGATTCTGTTTGAACTTGAGGTCCTTGGTTCTTTTTTTTTTTTAATCTTGGATGAAAAACGAATGTTTGTGATCAGCACAACCACTTGCTAACCCATGATCAAAAGCAAATAACCCACTTTGTTTGTTTCTTACTGCAAATGAATTAAATTAGATGCCATTAAGAGAACTCGCTGTTTATATCCTTGTTTCAGCAGTGGTAGTATTTGAAGTTTCCTGCAGTAAGTTCATTACTCGTATTTTGTCCAGAATTAGTGAAGCGTGCTGAAAATTGCTAATGACAGATGTTTCTCCACTCTGTCACACTTCTTGTATCATTTGATTTGGAAAGCAACATACGGTGTTCTGCTCTATCAGTATGTCACAGACTGTCTGTAAACAGCTGGTCATAACTCAGTTCAGTGAAAACCATTACTTTCCAATGAAGTGCTGGACACCCTCCAAATTGCATTTTGGCATGGCCTAGGCTGCTTAATGCACAAAGTTCTTCTGTTCCGAGGTTACCTAAGGAAGGATTCCCTCTCCTTCTCCCTTCCCCCACAACCTTCTTCAGCTTGTGTCATAAAAATAAATGCCTTTTAAAACAGTAACTAGAAACTAAATGCATGATCTCTTTAAAAGACTATCCCCCCCCCTCTCAAGAGAGCATGAAATCTCTCCAACACTGGTCCAGTGCTAAATAATGAAAATAATAATGATAGTAAAATAATAATAATAATATCACCATCTTCTTTTCATCACTATTTTTGTTTGTGGTTAGGTTGTATATTAGCATGACTAGGGCACATAAAACAAGCACAGACTGAAATGTCTCCTGTCAAATAGCAGTGGCACTAACATTGCTATGACTCTGGGGCAATTCAAAAAATCTTAATTACAATGAATCCTATTAAACACAACTCCAGGAAAAAAAATGAGATAGGAATACACAAACATTGCGGTTGGATCTTTTTACCATAGACAAGAATTAGTTTAAGAACTAACATATATCTATGTAACAAGGTTGGGTGCATATGGTATGTTTGAGCCAAGAATGTGCAATTTTATAGTAGTTAACTTTTATAAATGAAACTGAAAACTCTGAAAAGTTCCTACATGCACCTTCATCTATCTTTGATTGACTTCACCCATCAAGTGATGCATTGCACATGTGAAACAGCCACCACAGATCAAATACCGCATAGGGAGTGTTCATTATCACACAATATTTTTCAATAGAAGCCATTTCTTTTCTGTTGTGAGGGCTTTGAGGGCTGTAATACATGACTATAATGACTATAGGGATGCCCAGTGGCCCTTTCTATAGAAAATGGTTTACCACAGTAACCATAGCATAGTAACCATGTAGATCTACCATTAGCACAAGTTCAAGGCAGACTTTAAGCGTCTATGGATGATAATATGGTTATGCTTCCATTAGGGTTATATAGCCATAATCCAAGCACCACTCCGTCACAAGGTTAATGTATTTTTTACCTTATTCTAACATTTTCCCAAGAACTTCCAAATAACAGGTTGTCGTCTTTCACTGTTTATCTAAGAGCACCTACTAAGATTCACAACTCAGTGCTAATTTGAACCTTTTTCAAACAATTGTGGATCACAACTCACTAAAGCTGATCAAACTAAGAAATGAACTAGATATCAAGTTTTTAAGGATAGTGCTAAATAAGAGTCACAAAAAGTACATAAAACCAGCATGCTGATATAGGTCTGTAAAGGATACAGCCGACATTTCTGTCTAGAAATGTTGATTAGGATGGTGACTAATATGTCTATATTATACTGTCCTAGAATATAAACTCCAGCTCCCTGCTGAGAGAAAGATCCTGCAGGTCCAACTGGGAGCTATCCAGGGTCCTGCTCTACTTAGAGAGAACTGCCTTCCTTAATTGTGCATGAATCTGCCTTGACTTTACCTGATCTGGCTTTGCCTTAGCCTTAGCCCAGGCTTCCTCAAACTCGGCCCTCCAAATGTTTTGAGACTACAGTTCCCATCATCCCTGACCACTAGTCCTGCTAGCTAGGGATCACGGGAGTTGTAGGCCAAAAACATCTGGAGGGCCAAGTTTGAGGAAGCCTGCCTTAGCCTTAGCCTTAGCCTGGACTTGGCTTGACATTGCCTGGCCTAACTTGACTAGCTTGGAAGGGGCTTTCTGTGGACTGAAAGCCTTGGCAGAGCATAACAGAATTCATTCCACTGAACATTCCAGGCTGCAATGTGGAAAGTTGAATACAAAGTTTGTATTAATCAATAACCCTGCAATCTTCAATGTGGGCTGCAGTAGCATAGCACCAAAGGCTGCCTCCATTCTAGTTCTCACACTTCACCAAGCACATGTTTAGTTAACACCCAGTAATACTTTGTGCCAGTGAAGTTGCCATAAAAGAATTTCAACCCACAGTGTCTTCATCATTCTTAACTTATTTCTACATTTGACAATAGACCAGTTCTTATCACACATTGTTTCTGCTATTAAAGCAAGAGAAAAGAATGTGTAAACATGAACTTGAGATCTTAATCAAGCTCACAGCACACTTCTTTGCAACCAAAAGACTGTAATCAGGGTGAGATTATTGCTGGCAGTGAAACAAGGCAATAGAGTGGACTGAGATCATGCAAATTTAGACTTAATTATTTGTGTCATAACAAGACAGAAAAGTCAGAACAATGTTATTCTGAGAAATGGATTTGATTTTGCAAAGAAATGTGAGTATTTGCAGGCTTAACGGAACATTATTCCATCAAGGAATTGTCAATAAATGAAACCATCACAAAACATGTGAATAAACAACAGAATACAAGGCCAAATAAAGTGAGTCATTTTGGAAGATGTATAAGAACAACCATGACATGAATTAATTAATTGTTTACTTCCAACAGGTTTGTTTCATGCACCTCAGGCAAGCTGAGTAAATGTAGCAAGAAAATACAAAGGTGGGTGTTAGGGCCAGCCCCTAGACAAAAGGAGGCAGCTGCTTCAGACAGCAGATGTTGGGGGGTGGAAGTAGTGGTGAGGGCTTGCAGGTCAAAACTGTGTATGCCTGGCATATAGATGCTTAAGCTAGTCTGCTGTCTTCAGGTCCAGTGGAGGACAATGTCCCATCACTAGTGTTGAAGTAAGCTTCAACTGCCAAGACCTTTGAGAGCTGCTGGCAGTCAGAGTACAACTTTCCCCAATGAAGTTCTCTCCAGGTATTTTGAATGACAACTTCCACAATCCCTGACCATTGCAGGTTGGTCTGATGGGGGTTGAAGTCTACTCCTCAGCTCTCCAAAATGTTGTGTTGGGAAAGGCTAAAGTAGAGCATGATAAACAGCCCAAGAGCTCATTCACTCCAAGCTTGGGAACCGAAGTAGCTCACATCTTCTTCCATTAGGTACCACTGCCACCAGCTCATTCTTTTCCTCTGCCCTTGAGATAGGAGCAAATTCTCAAGGCTAAAAGCCTCCTGCCTAGACCTTTTCCTCTCTTTGAAAGGCAGAAAACTTATTTTCTTGCATTCTCTCTAGTATATGTAGCATGGGTCAAAATGATCAGGGCACAGTTAAAATAACATGTGAGCAGTCATAGAGGCATATCATACCTCCACATTAATTAATTTACTAAGTATAAAGTTTAAGATCGGAAATAGGAAGAACCGCGGAAGCCCCGTCAGACATTCAGCTTCCAAGAGAATGTTCGAAAACCGGAACACTCACTTCCAGGTTTCAGTTGTTCAGGAGACAAAACATTCAAGAACAAGGCTGTTCGAAAACCAAGGTACGACTGTATATTCACATTTTTATTGTATTTTGTTCTCTTGATTGGTATTTTAATACCTACTAATCTAGAATTATTATTGTTTTATTAGCAAAGATATAAATTCAGACTAATCAGTGTTTATTAGGCAGAGGAAAATAAAAGACAGCATAAAGAAGATTGTACGTATTGTAGATTGCATTTCTATAAGCAAGCAATACCCTGTGGTGGTGGTGGTGGTGGTGGTGGTGTTGGTGGTGGTGTTATGGACACAGCAAAAGCTTTTGACAATATTGAATGGCCATTTTTGGTTGAGATGTTAAAGCTTACCATTTTGGGGGAAAGATTTAAAACAAAGGTACAGGTAATGTGTTGAGCACAAAAGCAAAGATATGTATCAATGGGATAACTTCAAATCTCCTTAATTCATATAAAGGTACAAGACAAGGTTGTTCTTCATCTCCACTATCGTTTGCATTGGGAATAAATCCACTTGCAATTAAAATCAGGACCTGTAAGAATGTCAGTGGAGTAAAAATAAATACACATGAAATAAAGCTTAAACTATATGAATATTATATACCTGTAACATTAATAATAATAATAATAATAATAATAATAATAATACAATTCTATGATTCTTTGTTGAGATTCCTGCATTGCATGGGGTTCCTAAAATTCATAGAACCATAGAGTTGGAAGGGACCCTGAGAATCATCTGGTCCAACCTATATATGCAGCTGCCCAATACTGGCATCAAACCTGCAACCTTGGCATAATCAGCACCATGCTCTAACCAACTTAGCTATACCTGTGGGGTCCCTTCCAACTCTATAATTCTATGATTCTATTATCCTATGTGTGTGGTCTGCAGGAGTCAGAAAACACTTCATGGAATCTCTGATTTGTGCAATATGTGAAGGTGGCGGGAAATAATTAATTAAATCAATTAATTAAATCATGTTTCACCTTCATTATGTGGTGTAAGCAAAATTACATTTATATGCATTTATTTAAAACAGTAAATAAAAGCACATATGGGGGGGGACTGTGCAGAGGTCAGTTTTTCTTGTGTCAACGTCTTCCAGGTGTTGTTTTGAATCCCCATCATCCTTGATCATTGACAATGCTGGCTGTGACTGATGAAAATTGTAGTCAAAGGCATCTGAAGGATAGCATTTTGGAAAAGGGTGGATTAGGTAGGTGTTAGTAACTTGGTCCCAAACCAAGGATCACAATGGGGGATAAAGCCAATGGATGTGATCCCATCTTCCATAATATGTTCATATGGATATGTTCATAGGAAAATGGGTTAGTGTAAACAATTTCTTTTTCTGTTTTTTAAAAAACTGAAGCTTGAGAGTCTAAGAAAGTCACAAGATTACTTATTGTGTATATAAATGTAAAAATTATTTTGTTGCATTGGAGTATCACAGTGAAAAGATAGATGTTAATCTGTATTTATTCTGCTAATGCTCTCAGACTTCAATAGAAGGATAAATTCCTCAGTTGTGCTAAGCATTACACAAATATATAACAAAAATGTTGCCTTCATTATAAAGTAGGTAATAACCCAAAGTTGAAGTTAATGATGTGCAGTTCTGAAATGACAGTGATTAATACCGTAGTAGGTAATAGATTTTTAATCATGCCAACAAAAGGAACATTATTCAGGTGATTCACTGGTCATTTACTAGTGTAGACTCATTATATCCCTTGAGACTACACCAATGTAATTGGTCAGTGAGTCACTCACCACATTTGTTCATTTGGTTGGAATTTGTTGTGTGTTGGATATGCAGGATTGGTCTATGAAATGTTGCCATTCTGAGGAAGACTGGCAAAGAGAAGTATTTTGGACACAGACATTGAAAAACAAATATTCATTATCATGCTCATCAAGGGACAAAGAACAAATGGTGAGTTGGCCTCTGCATGTTCATCAGCCAATGACTGCAATATCAAGGAATGCTACTATCTTTTATTCTATTACATATATAAATCTAATAAATACATAAATAATAAATATTGTATATCTGAAACAGGCATCAGAAATCTCAAAACCCAGCAGAAATCACCATCTAAAGAAGGGGATGATGCTTAAATCCCAGTGAGGACAAAGGAATAGGTTAGCTTCAATTAACTTAAATACCATGATGTCTTCCAAATTTTACACCTCATGGAATCTCTGGTCTGTGAGCCTAATATTGCATGCCAGGCATCCTCATTTGGCCCAGGAGGCCATTTTAGCTATACCACACCCAACTGTCCTGTACCTGCTGTTATATATGACATCACATGAGAGGCAGGTAAAAGCAAGGCTTGGGAGAAAGGGATTTGAAAGCCCCACCAATCACCAATGCTGCCAAAGACCACCCCTCCCTCCCGTGTTTCCCAGTTATACCCAAATCAGCTGATTGTCAGGGCTTCAGAAGAAAAGGGGCTTTGCAAGCCATTGGAAATTATTGCACTAGGGACTTGGAAAGCATAGGGGAAAGGAGCAATTTTTTCCTTTCCAAAGGAAGCAGTTGGCATGCAAAGCACTTGGAGAAGCACCTTGAATACAAAGTGCTTTCTCTGCAGATGGGGAATTGCTCCATCTTTATTATCATTCCTCTCTGTGCAAAGACTTCAAAGCGGCTCCCTCTATCAACTGATCATTGGTTAGAGAGGTTTTCACACAGCCAAAGCTCCACGAAGCCCAGATTCCTTGTGCTTCTTCTGCTTGTAGTTCATATCAAACCTAACATCACATCTGACCTCCAATTCAAATCTTTATTCCAGTCATAGACCAGCATGATAAAAACACCTCCATACATTAATAAAACATGCTAGATAGCCAATATGGCAACTGCAGAAGTAGAAGGTACACATATTCATACTCTCGGTTACAATAGGATAAGATTAGAATGCATAAAACTTGTAAATCAAAACTTCAGTTTTAGACCTGCCCTGTGGCACATAACATTCTCTTACGTGTGTCAATCATAGCAGCACATCTGATGAAAGTTGGGTTTTCTGCACATGTTCGCAGGTATCCTTTTACTGTTATCCTCAAATGATTCAGGCCCATTCCAAATGAACAAAACATTAAAGAACACTGTCAGTACAGGAACGATTCAATTAAGATTTCACAAAGCTTTTTTTGTTTGTTTGTTTCAGTGTATCTTGCCCATCAGTATGAATATGATTATTGTTTCACACAGTGGGAGCTTTCCTCTTAATGATACTTAGCAGCAGGGGCTTTGTTTGCTGATGCAAATGAGAAACAATAGTTTGTATTGTCTAATATACAGCATTAGCTATCAAGAAGCTGGGTTCAGACTAGTGCTTTTGTCCTTCCCTTTCCTTAATTTCTAATTGCAAAAGTTCTTTTTGGACTGTTTCTGAATGAATGTGCCATCTCAGAGAGAAAGAGATCTGGCTTCGGGGGCGGGAAACTGCCACATTGCCATCTGTGCAACCTTTCAGGGGCCACATGAAAGTGGTGGGCAGGGCCAGGGGCAAACTGGGCAAACCAACTGTGAATTTTACCTTCATGCGGTTGGCTACACATACTCATACACTCCTCTCTGTCCTCCAGCTAGGCAAGCAAGAAGCTGCATAAGAGTTCCAGGCAGGGAAAAGCACTCAAGGAGGGCGTGGCTTGGGAGGGGAAGTGGCCTGGGGAGAGTTTCAAGGGCCAGAGAGAGAGGCTTGGAGGTCTCCATGTGGCCCCCAGGCCTGAGGTTCCAGATACCCAACTTAGTAGGGTGTTGCACAGCCCTCCCCAACTCTATACCCCACATCCAAAGGCATCCAAAGGCATCACTTATGGGCTCATTCTTAAGATCGTGTTCATGGAAGACAATCTTACTCAGCTATGAGTGATCAGCAAAAAAAGAAGACTAGACTTCAGCATACAGTAATAGACAATAAAGGATAACTGGTATAATCAACAATAAAGAATGGGAAGTAGGTGGAAATCTGAAACAGCAAAAAATAGGAAAAGATAAAAGACCTGATTGTGGAATAAAATGTGAAATACCACCACAATGCTTTTCCAGAATAATATGAAGATTGTTAATCATATGGGATGTTTTAATATTGTATGCATCAGAATGCAATAATTTTGATTCTGAAAGTTCCCACATTAGCCCTATCATGAGAGGCTCATCCTATACCAGCCATGAGTAAAAATATTTGATTATACCATGATGGCACACAATTTATTCTTGTTCATATTAGTCAAATGCTACCTGCCCGTGAAATTTAATACCTGTCAACTCAAATATCAGTTTGAATTCTGACAACTGAAAGGCATATAAAATATATCCAATATTTTTTTAAATAAAAATCTGCCAGGTAGCTCAATAGAGGAATAATTAACACTGGCATGCATAAGGGAAGCTATCAGTGCCACTCTAAGTGGTGTCAGTAGGAGGAGATATCACACTAGATTGAGAGATGTGCATACAGGTATGAATCCAACTGACTTCACTCAAAAAACTTCAATTAAAAATGTATCGTGAAGAAATCTCGTCTGAGGTGATGTGAAGTTCATGCGATCTGTGATAGCTGTTTTACACATGCTAGTCATCACATCACATTCATTTGTTTTATTTATCACATTTATATACCATCTTTTCCTATGAGGAACTTGAGGTGGTATCGAACAGATGGAAAGCTCTTTAGCTTTCCAAGCAAAGAGTAAGGTTACCATAACTTCCGTCATAGAGCTTCAGTATGCTGATGACAACTTACTGTGTGAACACTCAGAGGATGACCTCCAAACCATACTAAATATATTCACAGAAATTTATGAAAAGCTTGGTCTATCGTTCAACATCCCAAAAACCAAAGTGCTGCACCAACAAGCACAAAACAACCCCTCTGCAGCACCACAAATCCAACTCAATGATGTAACATTGGAAAGTGTTGATCACTTCTCCTACCTGGGCAGTTAGTTACTTTCCATAAGGACATTGATAGTAAAATCCAGCATTGCCTGAGCTCTGTGAGTGCAGCTTTTTCGATTTAAGTGCAGCATGTTTGAGTACCGGGACATTTGCAGGGAAACCAAAATGCTTGTTTACAAAGCTATTGTACTACCAACCTTACTGTATTGGTGTCTCTGAAAATTTTTACATATCATTTGGGAAGACAGGTGAACTAATGCCAGTGTCCTGGAAGAAGCAAAGTGTTGAAGCACTGATTCTTCAACATCAGCTTCATTGGACTGGTAATGTTGCACAGATGCCTGATGATCATCTTCCAAAGCAACTACTCTATTCCGAACTTAAAAATGGAAAGCGTAATGCTGGTGGTCAGCAAAAGAGGTTTAAAGACTCTCTTAAAGCAAATCTTATAAAATGTAGTATAAACACTGCCAATTGGAAAACACTGGCCTATGAGCGCTCAAACTGGATAACAGCCTAACTTCAGTGGGACTTACTTCCAAGTAAAGAGAGACAGGATCACAATTTGAATCCCATTGAAATTCATGGGCTTTAACTGTGTCCTTTAGCTTCATTAATGTCAATGGGACTAAGTTGTGACTAACTTTTACTGGCTTGTGCCCCCCACACACTTAATTTTGAAAGATGATTTCAGTTTGGTAATGAATTTAATTAGCTCAGTAAGGCACCAATGAAGCTACCTGAGAAATAGCTATTAATAATGTCCCCAACTATTTAGCAGGAATTTTATCCCAAATTAGATGGCTCAGATTCAGGAAAAAGTAATTAGTCAAAGATCTAAGCTCATTATGGAGATTCCAATTAAAGCCTCTTTCCAGTGTGCTGTGGCAGTAAAATAAGTAAATTTTAGAACAGAAAATGAATGTGACAGGAAATCCTGGGATTATACAGTTCTATTAGTATTATGCCCTCTGCCACAATGAGATGATCTGTTTTAATTGATCCACAGATACATAGCAAAAGCAGCAAGTAAAATGAGCAGTGCTGAGGAAGGCTCACACTGCCTTTGCATACTCTCAGCGCCTAACTACATGAGATGTTGATGGCATGCTTGGCAATCACATTGTGAGTTTGTGGATTTTAAAAAATTATTTCTTCATTTGATTCTTTGGGGAATAACACGGAAACAACCAAACATAAATACCAAACAAGACAGCAACAACTGCCTGGCAGAATTTGACCAAATGAAGAGTAAAAATGCCAGGAAGTTAAAAGAGGCATTATTAACTTTGAGGGGTTTTTTGGTGCTTACAACCAAGCAGAATAGAAATTTTATGAAATAAATAAAATGAATTAACTACTCCAAATATCTGCACAGCAAAATCAAGCCTCCATACACCTCTACTGTCTCCAAAACAGGTCTCTTTAAAGTTCTATCTGCATTCCTTCAGTCCTGCTGTGACATCCTTCAATATTAGCAAATGGTAGTAGCCGCCACCATGACCTCTCAAACGTATTCTCCCTTAGTATACCCTGTTAAATTGGCTTAGGTGCAAATTAAATACCAGCTATAGAGGAAGTGGAGTTTTTTGTGAAATTATTTTTGGGATTTCTGCTAGCCATGTTTACTGAGGGTGCAAATTCCACAGAAAGGGTATTAGCACAGGAAAGAAGAACAAGAAGGCTTGTTAATACTTAACCTTGTCTAGATGTTCTTCAAACACAGAAACCAATACCTTTTTTCCCTACTTATTATGTAGGAATAATAAAGCCACTTCTCTCTCTGCCATAACCTTTTCCTTTGAACTAGCCTCCTGAAATTAACAGTAGCTATTCAGATCATGGCTAGTGGTACTTTATCAAAACAAAATATCACAATCCTAAACAGGTTTTCCCAGAAGTAAGTCCCATTGATTCTAATGGGAAAGAAGTTTTAAAATGCTGCCTACCAATAATAAGATGAGATCTTGCATTACCGTCCAGGGTAAACTAATATTTGGCCATGTGGGCACTTGCTTAAAGGTGAACATTGATGGGGATAGCAAAAAGGGTGGCTGTTTTGAGATAATGGGAATCAAAGCAGATCTTAATTCAATAAAGCAGAAATTGTCCCATTGCATTGCACTTCCGCCAGATCAACATATGGTAGCACAGCTGACAGATATAATCTTTACTCTGTTTTTTTCTGTTTCACATGTTCATTGCATTTGGTGATGTCCTACACAAGAATTTATATAATTTGCCTGTAACTCCTTAATGCTACAACACTCATTGCTGTGAAACTGCAGCATTATCTTAATCCTGAATTCTGACATCTCAAGAGTTAATTTAGTGATTAAATGAATGGTCTAAGGCCCCCAACAGCAGGGGCCTCCAAAATCCTCAGATTTTGATGTGGAGTGGTTGCTTACCCATCCACCCCTCTTTAAAAGACAAAGCTGTCTTCTTTTTTTAACAAAAGCCAAGCATATTGAGACACAAATGTACCAGCCCAGGATTCTGTTTGCAAGTGTTCTTCGGTTCCTAAACAATGTTATTTGAAACTTGCTGATGACCACCCACCAAACACATTTGTCCCCACCTTATGAGCACAAACGGGGGGAGAGAGAGAGAGAGAGAGAGAGAGATGCTTTTAAATTCATTTCATTTGCCTGCTGACAGTTTATAAAAGGGGATGGCAACACAGTTGGTTTCAAAAAGAGAACACCACCTGCACTTGCTAAAAGAAAAGAATTGATTCTGCAGACAGACAGCACCTTCAACACAATTCCTTTTTAAATGGAATAGATCATTTGTAGAGCATCCTTTATGATCTCACCAATAATCTAGGGCAGAGAAGCAAGAGATGATCAATTTCCAGTTTGAAAATGCATTGTGCTTATCCTGTTAACTCAGCTTATCCTGTTATTGTTTTTCTCCATAGACCAGGACTCTTTCAAATTCTAAGAGTCCATCTCTATTAAAAAGTGCATCATTTTTATCACAGACTGCAAACAAACTCTTTGGAGAAACAGCACATTATGTCATTGCATTTTTCCAGATGTATGGTATGTTAGAAACCTGACACAAAAGATGTGAATCGGGTTAACGAGCCTGCCTGCATTTCTACCAAAATGTGTGTTGATTCATTTGAATAAATTTGACCTTTTCTGTTTATTGCTTTCTTGTAGTGGGGAAAGAATTCAGTCCATAGCCAATCATTATGATGACCACAAGTCCACTCAGGCACCTTGACAGCTGAATCGCCACCCCATCAAGAGATTTTCTTGAGAGTTGCCCTCAGGCAACTGGCTGAGCTGGCACACATTCGTTGGTTCTTTTTGCACATTAAATATCTTTACAGTTTTCATATTTTTGCTGTTTTTACACTTTTCACTTCTGCTTTGTACAGCATTTGCAGGCAAAGATTTATACAGCATAACACACACCATTAGCACTTTGCAAGCCTTTGTTGTACAGATGCTAAGCTATCCACAAGGCTTTCAAGTTTCGATATGCAGGGAGGGAGTTGATGCTTCCTAGGGGACGGAGGAAAGGAAATGTTTGCAGAGGGCTACATTTGGTTAAGACAGCAAGAACAACATTATAGCACTAGAGTAAAAAAGCATCAGAATCCAGACTTTGGCCTGGACCCAAAGAACTGTGTAACTTGTTCCATGTGTTCAAAGGGGTCTCTTCTTAAACCACAGCTCCTCATACCAAATGGCAAACTTCTTTGAAACTGAAGGGAGTTTCTAAGGCAACATAGAGGTCTGTGGTCCAAAGAGGGGGAAGTTGTCTCACTGAGCAATGCAGATTTTTGGACCAAACTAAATCAGCTTTCTGTATCTGCCCCTTAAATACCAACCATGAGAGGATGAAGCAAAATTAAGAAAGTGAGATAAAAGCAAACAACAGATCATTTTACGAGTCAATATGCCTCAGTCTGCACTGGCTACAGCTTCATGTTGTCCTCAAGGGCAGCCTCCTGCAGAGAACATTGCAGTATTCAAATCAAGAAAGTTCCCAGGGCATGTATTATTGAAGCAAGGATATCCCTGCTGTGGAATGGTCATAGCCAGGGGTCGGCAAGGTTTACCTCGCCTGAGCCGGTTCACTCCAGCAGAGATCCCTCCATGGGCTGGGCCGTGCATGTGTGTGAGCGCGCACACCCGTGATTTCCGGCATCTGCGTCTGCACAGACGCGATGTCCGGCGCCTGCACATGAGCACATGCGATTTCCGGTGCAGCAGAAGCGAGCACAGAAGTGTGCCGGTTTAGCGCAGCACATGGGGACTCGCCAAGCGGGCGGCTCAATTCGGGAGCAGCTCTTGGGCCATTTAAACGACCCCCATGGGCCGCTTGTGGCCCATGGTCTTAGGTTGCCAACCCCTGGTCATAGCACTTAGCTGGTCAAAGGTACTGCAGCTATTTGAGTACTTTAAGAGTTCTCCCAGACTACCTACCTGCTCCTACAAGGGGAATGCAACCTCATCAACAGCAGGTTACTGTCCCAATCACCCACAGAGCCTCCATCTCGTAGAGATTGCGTTTCAGTTGCTTCTTCATATGAAACTGGATCAAGGAAAAAATCCAAAATGCATTAGCATTGTAAGTCAATATATGTCTGGCAGACCTAATGCTTGTTTTATTTTATTTTTCTTCAAATCAACAAATGAGCATCCGATATTACAAAAAAGGTTCCTTTCTGGTCTGATGGCATTGTGTATGTATTCTTACATTGCACAAATGGAATTCATTTTATATGCACAAGATAATTCTGCACCTTCTTTTGTCTGTTTATAAGTCAGTTTCTGCTCAGTCTTGATGCTTTGATTAGCCGTCCTCTGCTTGGAAGGGACAACAGCTCTGTTCCACTATTGATACTGTGCCTAACTTGGGTTTTGATAGAACCAAGGAGCAAACTAGATGTTACCCCTAAACATGAAACTGTCACAGAAAACAGGACTTGCCTGTCTAGCTTTCTCTTCATCTACTGCAATGTTTAGTATAACTTACCTGGGTCCATATTTCATGAAATTCTGTGTTTCTTAAGATTCTCTCCATATCATTGGCTATCACTGGTAGTGAGTAAAGAAATGTGGGACATAATAGCATCAGGGCACACAGCAGATGTTTCTCATGCCCTAATGCGTTGCATTTTGCTTCCTTTTTTCTTTTTTTAACTAGCTTCAAAGTTGCCTTTTTCTGTGGCACCATATGCTAGGGTAACTTATAGTTTAGTCTTATTGTTGGTCTGGACAGCAATAGTCATTTGAAGCTAGCTCTCTGCCTTTTAGCATAGCTACAATTCTTGAAAAATTGGGGGATTCTAGTCTCAGCCCAAGAAGAATCTAATAGTAGTCAAATATGCTAGAACACACAGGTCTCAGATTAATACTTGCCCCATATACCAGGTGTAGGCCAGGTACAATGAGCTCCACCCACTGAGCTATACACTTGTATAAGCATGTACAAATCGATATCTGAATTACAGATCAGGAATTCTATCAGGATAATAAAATGAGGAATAAATCATTTTAATTCTTACTGTTGTTCAAACAACTGGGAGTCAAAAACCCTTTCTGATCTACTGCAGATCACCCAGGGATTTTCTAGTAGATCCTGATGTACCTTCTACCCCCCACTCACCCCATGCCAGCATTTTCTGTTAGTCTACCACCAACCAATTCTAAACATTCTGCAGATCAACATTTATTAATTGAAAATAATGTTAACCAATCCTGACTGTTCTGTAGTGGAATGAGAAAATAATTCCTCTACCTGCCACCCTGTCAAAGAACAATGGTTAAGCTTTGCTTGGCATTGCAATCACAGAATTCCTGTGCCAAACAGAAACTATATGTATGATATTATTCATAATCTCCCTAGCACCTTTATAAGGAACAAGCACCAACTTCCAAGGCCAGCCATCTATTCCCTGGGCCACTGCATCTTTACTAGCAAGCTCACATATTGTGAAATATGGCAGGATAATACTTAACAGTTATTTAGCATTTGCTTTAATTTCTAAGTGCATTTCACATATACAAGCTCAGTAATGCTAGCTAGGCCAGCATTATTGTCCGTGTTATAGGTGAATATGGTTTCAAGATATCCTGGTTTATCTATGGTTGCCCAGTTTATGTGCCTCTAGGAACACAAAGACAGGGATATGACATTGATATCAGTCAATGAAGCCAATTTTGGGAGCATCTGTCTCTCATCGCTAGGTGAAGGAAAGCCCCAGCTTAGACAGTTTTAAAATGGGATTAGACAAATTCATGGAGGAGGCCATGAAGCAGAGGTGGCCTTTTTCCAGTGAGATCTTGTGAGAGTTCCATGGAATAAGCCATGAAACTGCTTCAGGCTGACCCAGGAAATTCCTTCTAAAAATAGAGAAGGGAATTCCTAGGTCATTCTAAAGCAGTTTTAGGGACCTTTCCTTGGACTTGTATTACTCAGTTTTTCTATGTAACACTTGTCAATCACAGCTTTGACTTTGCTTATTGGCTATTGGCTAAAAGAAGTTGTTTTGAATGATGCCTGCACATTTTGTTCAATAACTTTTGTTCTACAAAGGTTACGTTTTAAAAAAGTAAATGTTAAACTGTTGAACCCCTGCTGGCCCTGAGTCTGGTAGAGCAAATAGTCCTGTGTCCCCCCAGTCTCAGCAGCCTTAGCTAGGGAGAGGGCTTAACTTAAGGGTTCTCCCTCAGATAGAGATTCTCCAAAGCTGCCTTCCATTTACCTCCAGCAAAGGAAAACCCATCTCCTGCCAGCAAGTGATCTCACTAGCTTGGCACTTGCACCAGCCAGACTCTTGCTGGTGCCCACAAGACTCTGCTGCTTGCTTCTTTCAAGCAGGAGGCTCAGAAAGCCAGGCTGGCAGCTGTCCTCCCTGAAGATTGCTGAGGGTGCCACCTCACGACACCATTTGGATTTCCCAAACTGGCAGGATGCATTGTTTGGGGTTACTCCTGCCTCAGTCTAAAGCAAGGTTAGTTTAGTGGCTGGTGTTTATTAGCAGGTGGGGGGAACTCTGCCTAATACAAAGGGCAACTTTCTTCTACCCGTGCCTAAACAGCCACTTTTTAAAAACAGTTGAGCTGTTAAGTTCTATGCTAAGGCACGTATGCACTTTGGAAAGGTAATTTGAAAGCGAGTTGAGCCATGACAAATAGGGACAGCTGGCCTAATTGAATCATTTGATCTAAGACAGCTCAACTTGGTTATCCTCACTGCAGCCCACATTGATATTAGCGAGTGAATCATTAGCCATGAAATCATGTCGACTTTGCCGACTGCACCGTTCTTGACATGACAGGGAGCGCGGTCTGCCTTTCATTATAGCCCCAATGAGTTCTTTAGTCTGTCATGAAGAAAGGGGAGGGGGGAAAGATGTCGTTGGAGTGGGGAGGAGGGGAGAGCAAACTTTTCGGCATAACAACAGAAAGCAATTTGCTCCAACATACCTCGCAGAACAGTTCAAAGAAAGACACTTTTGTTGTGGCTCAGGTTATCTGTTAGCCACAGCAGAAAGCATGTGCACCCAAGCTTGTTCTCTTGGCTCTGCTGTCAGCCCTTCGACCGCATACACAACACAATCTGCTGTTGGAATACAAGCACATGTGCAGAATAGCTGTTTTTTGAGGGAATGTAGAGACAGGCTGAGATATTTGTTTTACTTGGAAATGCTTACATTCTCTACACCAGTCCTGGGCTGGGGTTGGTAGCTTAGATATAGCAAGCAAAAGGCCATTTAAACAAAAGGCACCTGTTTATCAAAATTTGCCCAATTGTTTGCTCTAGGTACAGGCCATAAGACTTGGCTGTTCCTCTCTCTGCCATGGGATTTGGTCTTATCCCCATTGCAGAGCCGTAACCATCCTGTATTTTATTTCTATATGAATAAGAGTAATTATGTATAAATATGCATCTATACATATTTATACATATACATCTATACATATGAGCAGATGCAAATTTTAGGCAAATCTGTGTCCCCTTTTGACCTTTGGCATTTTCCTCTTTCTTGGCAATGTGTTTCTAACTCGCTGTGTTTGATTGGAAGAGTGCCAGGAACTTCCACATCAAAGGCATTGGTGGGCCACTGTAAAGCCCCAGCAAAGACACCTCAAACTGGGGCTCCCAGCAGTTAACATCAGATACTGTATCTCCTGCACCATCATTGCTCTGTTTTTTTTCTAGTAGAATGACCTCTTGAATTCCATGGCACCATGTAGGTCAGGGGCCTCCAACCTTTTGGGGCATTGAGGACACATTTGGAAACCTAAGAAGTTGCTGTCGGCACCTCAAAATACCCATCTCACAAAAGAGAAACTCGCAGTGCTCAGAAAGCAACCACCACTACCATCTAGGAAAATACATACTCATACCCCAAAGCAAACAAGACGCTGAGAAAAAGAGGGCAACACCTCCATCAAGACAGAAAAGCCAAAAGTGAGTAATTTGTACTCATTAATAAAGAAATGGGGAAGATCAGGGGGACTCCATGGTACCCATGAGTGTTGTGTTGGGAACCCAAACTCTAGGTTGTAGTACCAGCTTACATAAGCCTTCAGACAACTAACACAAAGGGTGAACGGGTCGCTTTGCTCTTCAACTTGTCTTTAGTGTGAAAGAGTCTGCCTAGTTCCTGCTTCCCTCTTTCTGATTGCCAACTTGGGTTGTGACCTCTGTCTGCCTTTGAATATATAAGCGCTTGTGCACCTTTGCTCCTTGCTGTGGGCCTCAGAGCCTGCCTATTTTATACAGTGCATCCATTTATGACTGTTGCTCAGGCCTTTCTTGGTTGCATCACTCTTGAGGTCACTTCATGCCTGATGATCCTGCTGGCCCTTCAGTTGGGCTCCAAGACTTCTCCCTGCAACAGGACAGTGCCTGCCCTCCCCCTTTTTAAAATGAGTGAGAAGGTTAAAAAGCCTTGGCTTTTACCTCTTTCTGGTTGAATGACTAAGTTCAGCTTAATCAAGGGATTGTTTAGACCAGAGCCAGACCCTGTGTTCTGGTAACAAAGTACAGGGCTGGAGGCCAGAACATCACTGCTTGGCCCATATTAGTTTTCAGTGATATGGAAAAGCAGACATGAGTCTGGACAGAGCTGCGTGTGCTTGGAAAAAAACTGGGAAACATCCAGCTCAGAAGCAATGGTAATGGCATATTTTTGTGAGTCAAAAGGATTTCCCAGTTTTCAGCAGTGTAATGCCAAGATCTCAAAAATGCAAGCTAAATACATTTCCTCAACAGCAGTCAAAAGTGATCATTAGCATTGGTATATTTGACTCACTGAGTTCAAAAACATCTATTTTCTGCCAAGAGACAGAGATTCTTTTTTGTCTTGGAACACAATGAAAACCCAAATGGGGTGAAGACTAGGATTTTATCAAATAGCCCAAAGAAAGCTAAAAAGCACTGCCATGATATTGCATCCCTCTGGTTGCTGAGAACTCCATCAACAACATATATGACTCCTGAAGATGGGTCTGGAGCTTAATTGTGGCATAGCACTTTCCAGAACTAGCCTTTGCTGATGTTTTTTCAAAGAGAAGTGATTCTGAGGCTTAGATAGTTCAGTCAATGGAGCATGAGATTTAATCTCAGGCCCCACATTGGGCAAAAGATCCCTGCATTGTAGGGGGGTTGGACTAGTCCAGATAACTCTCTTGGTCCCTTTCAACTCTACAGTTCTAAGATCCTATACTGTTGATTTCAGTAAGTCACTATGATATTCTTGCAAAGAAACTTGTAAAATGTGGGTTGAATGAGGTAAATGTTAGGTGGATTTGTAGCTGGTTGACTGATGGAACCCAAAGAGTACTCATTAATGGTTCCTCGTCTCTCTGGGAAAAAGTGACAAGTTGAGGACTGCAGGGTTCTGTCTTGGGCCCATTGTTGTTCAACATCTTTATAAACAACTTGGATGAAGGTATTGAGGGGATGCTCATCAAATTTGTAGATTACTGTACACCCAATAGGGAAGAGTAGCCAATGCCTCTGAAGACAAAATCAAGATTCAAGATGACCTTAGCCAATCAGAGAACTGGGCCAAAACTGACAAAATTAATTCCAATAGTGGCAAATATAAGGTTCTACATTTAGGCAGGAAGAACCAGCTGCACAAATACAAGATGGGGAACACCTGGCTTGCCAGAAGTACATGGGGAAAGGATCTAGGAATATTAATAGACCACAGGCTTAACATAAGTCAACAGTGTGATGCAGCAGCAAAAAAGCTAAGGGTATTCTAGGCTACATCAAAATAAGTATAGTGTCTCAATCAAGGGAAGTAATAGTTCTGCTCTATTCTACCTTGGTCAGGCCACACCTGCAGTATTGTGTCCAGTTCTGGGTGCCATGATATTGACAAGCTGGAACGTATGCAGAGGAAGGCAGCCAAGATGGTAAAGGGTTTGGGAACCAAGCCTTAACTGGAATGGTTGAGGGAAATGGGTATGTTTAGCCTGGTAAAGAGGAGACTGAGAGGAGATATGATAGCCATCTTCAAATATCTAAAGGGCTGCTCCAGAGGCTGTGGATTCAATCAATAGATTCAAGTTTCAAGATAGAAGATTCTGACTAGACATCAGGAAGAACTTTCTAACAGTAAGAGCTGTTTGACAGCAGGACAGACTCCCACGAGAGGTGATGGTTTCTCATTCCTTGGAGGTTTGTAAGCAGATGTTGGATTACCAGCTGTCATGTATGATGTAGCTGGGATTCCTACATTGCAGGGGGTTGGACTAGATTACTCTCAGAGTCCCTTCCAATTCTACAATTCTATGATTATATGATTCTGTGATTCAGACTCAACTTGTTATGCAAGAGTAAACAAAGTTTCTATTGAGATCTCATTTCCTGAAAGATTCCAGAGCCTTGTTTTCTTTTTCCTCTGGTCCTCCTGGCATATTAGCAATGTTTATCAATGTTCTGAAGTCAGTTGATACAGCACTAAGTGTACTTTTCCAGTTCCAGTGAGAATCAAAAGGCTTGATTGACTTGCAAGAGCACATAAATATCCCAAAATATCTCAACAAGTTGCACTTAGAGGCACAAAATATAATAATGACTTGCTACAATTGCTACCTGGATGCACTTTGATTTAGTGGCTAGTCTCAATTAGAAATGTAGCAATAAAATGTGTTTTTTCCTCACTGATGAATTTGTACACCAGAATGTTTATCATACTCAGTACCTTATGTCACCTGAATCATTATAATTATCATTCCCTAGTGATGCATGGTTCCAGAGAATGTGATGTGCTGTTTATTAATTATCAGAACCTTGTTTATACATGATGCCTTTATTTCTGCGGGAAGGGAGGAGGTGAACTTGCCTTAATTATGTAAATGTTTTGGAAATACTTTGTGCACTCCTATGCAATGGGTTTCATGTGGCATTTTCACTGAACTCTGCACCATCTTGAAAACACAATGGCCACAATATTGTGCAGAATTAGGCATACTGAATTAAATTGCACCCCTTTGCACACAGTTTACTCTATGTTCAACTGCAGCCGTCATAACTATTTGGGACCTGTGATTCACAAACTGTCTGATTCTATTCAGAAAATGGGAAGCTGTCATAAATGGAGTCATACATTGGATCAATCTAGCTCAGTACTGGCTACTTTGAATGGCAGTGGCTCTCCAAGGTTTCAGATAGGTGTGTTTCCCAGCCCTACCTGATGATGCCAAGGATTCCATGTGGCACCTTTTGTATGCAAAGCTGGTGTTCTATCACTGAGCTACAGCCTTTCCTCAAAAAAATATTTCCTTCAAATCAAATTTGAACTGGCTGTCTAAGGATTTAAGTGGCCAGCACTCCTATAGTCCTGTGCTCTGCCAGGTGAGCTACTAATTTCATAATTCCAATGGCCACTATTCTGTGGTCAAGTTCGTAAACTGGATAAAGTAACAAAAAAAAGTACATTTGCAAACCTGACTATGGTAATATGAAAACAGGAGAAACTAACTGTGATAGGGTTTCATACCCAATGTCCATTTATTTCACTACATTTTGGTAAGGTTTTTTTAATAATAATAAAAAACCTGTTACAGAAGGTTCAAGGCAAGAATGGATTCAGCTAAATTGCTATCATTCAGACCGAAGTTCACAGATTCAGTATCTAGAGAAATCATGAACATAAAATTTGCTAAAATGCATTGATGAAGATATTTGTCTGCATGAAAAGTCTTCCTTATATGAGATTCTTCTGGCAATAAGAACAGATCATTTCAATTGGGAGTATCCAGCTAGTACCCTCTACTGACAAAGGCAACTTTTGACAATTTAGTGAACATGAGAGAGAGAATGTGTCCATGTTAATAAGTGGGGAAATGATTCCAAATGCAGAGATGGAAGAATGCTAGGGTGAGGGAGACTGGAGGTCACTGGGTTAGAAATATTGGGTTGTATCCAATGATTCACTTCCATTCACACAACAGAGAATTTGACTTTGTTAATCAATGCCCAATGTTAATCAACCTCATTCTGCATCTAAACTTTTAATGTAAGTCACTTTGACTTACTTTGTAAGAAGAGTGCCTAACAGATATAACAAACAACAAAAGCATAGTTTAAAATTACTTCCTGATTCTCTTTGTACTCTGATAAAGATTTTATGAAACTCAGAAGCTTGCCTTTTATTTAACCAACAGCAGTTGTTTCAGTTTAAACAAAAAAAAACCTAATACCTTCCCTACAGTGTTCTATCCCAAGGACTGAGAGCTTCATTAGATGTTGAGATTAATTTTAATGTTTTCCAGATTAATTTGAGATTAATATGCCTTCAGGCATTTGTGCAACTCTCTAGCAATATCTTTCCTCTCTGTCATTTCCATCATCTTGCAGACAGTGGAAAGGGGGAAATGTATAGTTAAGATGTGTCATGATAAAGCAAGTAGAGAGAGAGATTTAATTACAGTAAATCATTACATCTCTTAACCTTGCAAGCATGGAAATGCGAAGAAGAAGCATAAATCTGAGGGTGATGGGAAGACAGGAGGAAGCCATAGCAAACAAAGTTTGTATTTTGAATGACAGCAGAGCAAAACTGCAACTGACATGCCTGGTTCTATATGAATCAATGTGCAAGAGACAGAGAACCATCATTTCACATCCTGCCATCATGTGGCAGCATTTAAGAAACCTGCTTAATTTTCACTGCCCAGGCCGTGAAGGAGGAGCTATTTTGGCAGCAGAATCTTGCTGCCAATTGGTCTGGAAAAAGTCAACAGGACTGCCTGTTCTGGACAACCTTTGAGATCAGGATTATAGGCAGTATTTGGCGAAAATTCACCATCAGATCACATAGCATGTCCATGGCTATAGCCTGCACCCAAAAATCACGCATCCATTGTTTCATGGGGCCGCAATGGCACAAAAACGTGGTTACAAAGCATGCATCCACATGGATTCTCAGGGTTTTTGCATTGGGCTACCCCACACTCACTGTCAAATCACATACCACAGCATGAACCACAAAAACCATACATCCACTGTTTCATTCAGAATAGTTTTTTTCTTGTTTTCCTCCTCTAAAAATTAGGTGCATCTTATGGAGCAAAAAATATGGTGCTTCTTCATGCAGCACATAGTTAAACAATGGAACTCACTCCCAAAGGAGGCAGTGATAGCCACCAACTTAGATGGCTTAGATAGAGGAGAGGATTGGATAAATTCATAGACAAGAAGGTGATCAACGGCTACTAGCCATGATGACTATGCTCTGCTTCCATGGTTAGAGGCCGTAATGCTTCTGAATATCATTTGCTGAAAACGCAGGAGGCGAGAGTGCTGTGATGCTGGGGTCCTGCTTAGGGATCCAAGCACAACAACACTAGTTTGCCACTATGAGAACAGGATCCTGAACTAGATGGGTTATTGGCCTGATCCAACAGGCTCTTCCTGTCTTCATGTGACAGGGTGGAGGGAGCATAATGAGGATGTTCGGTGTCTATGAGTTCAGTGTGAGAGTGTGTGATTGAACCCATCTGCAACGTTGGATAAGCTTTGACAACTGATTTAATTTCAGAACCTTCTTTTCCCCCTGCCCTGGTAGTGTTTCCTTTTCCCCCTTCCTGCATTGGTATATAGAGCGGGAAATGGCCTTGAGGAAAAGGAGTTTGGAGGTGTACCCTTTGAGCATCACCTTAATGGAGAAGCTGACCATCTATCTCATTTTGGCTTTATACCATGCCCTAAGGAACATCTAGCTTTATAACCAGGATAATTCCCTGGCATACTAACAAGTCACTTTCAGGAAAATCTCACAGATGGAGGCAGCGCAAGGACAAAGAAGCTGAGAAGATGCATCTGACACCAGAAATACTACTTGCTGTTGTACTTCAAAGGGAAATATTCTGCTAATACCGACAAGACATAATAAATCCCTCAACTCTGGATATCCTGTTTAGCATCTCATGACTCTCAGATAAAAACTCTTGTCACTCTGAGTAATAAAACGCAAACATAGTAATAGCACCAAAATATTTGCCAAGTGTACAACAATCAACAAACTATTAACACAGGTCTGTTGACTTGAGCAAATGGAATGTGATAGAACAGCTGTTAGTTTCAGCCTACCCGTAAAGAAAACCTTTGTGAGTCACTTAGGGGTTTATGAATTAACAATGTTTTCCTCATTGCTAGTATAAACACACGGATTTCCTCAACATACTTCATTGCTTATCATATATTGAGATGGTGCATTCATACAATGGCAAACCACACAGTTGTAATGCACAGTTTAGAGTACACTGGCTTCAGAAAGCCTTTGGCACTTTTTCACATATATGTGTGAACAACTGAAAATCAAAGAGGTGGTTTCATCAGGTAGATTTAGAGACTAAATTTTAGGCCCTTTACTTAAACCTTAAGGGCTCATCCACACTAATTTACCTCCACACATTCTAGGCATAGGTCTGTGCTTTTCCAGTTCATTTTCACACTCTTCTTCTTCATCATCATCATCTTCTTCTTCTTCTTCTTCTCATTCTTATTCTTCTTGCACCACCACTTTCCTAATTAAATCCTACCATTTAATACATGATTTTAGCCAAAACCATCTCAATCGTGCCCAAAATCAGTGCTTATCGTGGTGGTGCTTCTCCATCAGTGGCAGATGTGGCAGGGTGCACAGCAGACAGCAGCAGGGGCAGGTAGGTGGTGGTGGCAGGACAAAGCATCACTTCCTGTTTTGCCTCAAGCAGCCAAACGGGATACTTCACCCCTGATTTAACCTCTATACAACACTGACCAACATATATTAATATAGCCCAATCTCATTTATTCCTATGGCTAGGTGACCTTGAAAATCTCTGGATAATCAGATGTTTAGATGAATATGAGAGCAGGTTTTGAAGTGTTAAAAGTGAATGAGGCTATGTAGAGAACACACCATAAATTCAAGTAATCAAAAGATCTAGATAAACAAGGTTTGAATAAAATGGGTTCTTCTTTATTGGCAGTAATAAGAAAACTATTCAAGCAGTGAAGAAGTGCAATGTGTACTGTTAAGACATTGTAATTATGATTGCAAGTCCCCAATGATTTTTATTGAATTGGCTATCAGGCAAAAGGGCATGAGTGAGTCGTTTCAGTGCAGATTAGTCGTTGCTGGGCTGAGGAAGAAAAGGGGCATTTTACAAGAAGGAGACAAGATTGTGTCACAAAACAGAAAGTCTCTCTATCATGGTAAGATCTGTGAGCACCTAGTGTCATTGGTATAGCCTGCACCCTTTCTGGAGCCAATATTCATCAGTTGTAGTGGGAATTTGTTCCATCCTCAGAGTAGAATAACTGTCTGTCACTTATTTTGCAGGAGATTCAGTTGTCTTCCCTCAAAGTAGTGCTTTTGATTATATGCTTTTGAGGAGGAACCAAAGCTCAGTATTTGAGCATAATCTTCCCTGCAGAAGGTCCCAGGATCTCCACTGTGAGATCTTGAGTAGAAGGGTTAGCTTCAGTAGCCACTGTCAGTCAGAACAGACAATATTTAGCTAGAAGGACTTAGGGGTTTGACTCATAATGAAGCACCTTCTTCATATGACCCAGCCTTGTACACTGACACCTACACAAAGATGGTTGACACTTCTGGTGGCATTCAATGCAGCACTAAGTCCCTCATTCCACTGGCACACAGATTTCTCCTTGCACGAAGGAATGTTCTCCCCTCCCACTATGCCCCACTAAAACTGTTCTAGTGGATCTGACAACCCTCTGGAGCAAATTGAGGGGGGCACAGGGCATGTAGGGGAGGGGACAGAAATGAATATATAATTTTTGAAGCAGTCTAAAGGAAAGACATGAGTCCATGTTTCCTAGATCCAGCTTCCCATCCAGTTGGTGTAAGGATCATGTTGGAAGCTCATGTGCTCCAGTCAATAGAACAGGAGTCTGAAAAGAGATGTTGCCTTACCTGTTTTGCATAACTGGGTCATTTCAGGACATGAGAACAGAACAGTTTCTACCTGGAGATTGTTCAGTTACCCGAGTGGTGGAAGTGGGAAGGACTCTTGAAAGAGTCTCTCTAATAGAGCCATACTGTTGAATGTCACGTTCCAGACAGGCAGCATTTCCATGGGATAGTACAAAAGTAGACTGCATGCTGTTGCTAGGCAACAACACATGCCAACTTAACTTGAATGGAGGCCAATGGAATCAATAGAAGCCAAGGGGCTTAAGAGGAGAAAGAAGGCTCACACCCAGAATTCCAAGTTCTGCCCTCTGTAGCGGTCATTTGGCAAGATTGCTATATTGTACTTGCTGGGACTGGACTCTATACAAGCATACAGCAACTCTGCCAGTTATTCTAATCCTGCATTCAGTTACACTGATTGATAATGGCAATATGTTAATTATAGTATTTGTTCATGAATTGTGAATTCTGCAAGGAGGAACACATTGCTGCACAAAATGTTCTACTCACTCCAATATGCAGCCACCCACTTATTTTCTTTCATGTTTGAACATTACAATCCCTTGTCCCTCACACGGCATATGTTATTATTAGTAGTATTTATTTTTTATTATTACTATTTGCAAAGTTGCCTCAGAGACGTTAATGATATGATTCTACATTAAAGAAAGCTGGTTGTGCATATATTCCACACACACACACACACACACACACACACACACACATTTAATTGAAGGGTCTATGAAGATAGGATCACACTCCAAAACGACCTTGACAGATTAGAGAACTGGGCAAAAACAAACAAGATGAATTTTAACAGGGAGAAATGTAAAGTATTGCACTTGGGCAAAAAAAATGAGAGGCACAAATACAAGATGGTGACACCTGGCTTGAAAGCAGTACATGTGAAAAGGATCTAGGAGTCTTGGTTGACCACAAACTTGACATGAGCCAACAGTGTGACGCGGCAGCTAAAAAGCCAATGCAATTCTGGGCTGCATCAATAGGAGTATAGCATCTAGATCAAGGGAAGTAATAGTGCCACTGTATTCTGCTCTGGTCAGACCTCACCTGGAGTACTGTGTCCAGTTCTGGGCACCACAGTTCAAGAAGGACACTGACAAACTGGAACGTGTCCAGAGGAGGGCAACCAAAATGGTCAAAGGCCTGGAAACGATGCCTTATGAGGAACGGCTAAGGGAGCTGGGCATGTTTAGCCTGGAGAAGAGGAGGTTAAGGGGTGATATGATAGCCATGTTCAAATATATAAAAGGATGTCACATAGAGGAGGGAGAAAGGTTGTTTTCTGCTGCTCCAGAGAAGTGGACACGGAGCAATGGATCCAAACTACAAGAAAGAAGATTCCACCTAAACATTAGGAAGAACTTCCTGACAGTAAGAGCTGTTCGACAGTGGAATTTGCTGCCAAGGAGTGTGGTGGAGTCTCCTTCTTTGGAGGTCTTTAAGCAGAGGCTTGACAACCATATGTCAGGAGTGCTCTGATGGTGTTTCCTGCTTGGCATGGGGTTGGACTCGATGGCGCTTGTGGTCTCTTCCAACTCTATGATTCTAGGTATCATTGTCCAGAACATTTCATAATACAAGTACATTACTTTAAGTTCTATGACATTGACAAAATTATATTATGCAGAGGTACATGACTTCTGTTTTCTACCTTTCCAAGTGTGCATCTGATCCTTCCCACTTGACAAAGCAGGAGGTGGAATCCATGCAACACTGACTGATTAGGCACTGCAGTAGAAGCAGCAGGCAAAGCCACTCTATACTACACCTAATAATTGATCAGCTGAGGCTAAACTACCTGCCACCAGGTAACATCTCTCTCCCCCCCCATGCTTGTCATGTAACACCAGCTGCCTTGTGGTAGAACATCATGTGCAACAGTCACACCCATTTCAGCAGAGTAGTTGGTAGTGGAACACAGGAACATAGGAAGATGCCTTATACTGAAGTCAGACCACTTTTCAGTATTGTCTACAGTTACAGTACACTGACTAGCAGCAGCTGTCCAGGATTTCAGACTGGGGCTCTCCCAGCCCTACCTGGAGGTACCAGGGATTGAACCTAACCTGGGGTCTTCTACATGCAAATCAGATGCTCCAACACTGCCCTATAGCCCTTCTCTTTTTGAAACCCCTTTCCTTTTTACTGCCATTTCATGGTTGCTCCCACACCACCCCTGTGACTTTCATCCTCATGGCCATATTGTGATAACATAGCACAATAGTAGCTTAATAGAGGGGACATCTCTATGAGCAAAGTATCTTACCATACAGTACACCCTAACTTTGAGAGTAGAAATCAGATACATTATTGGGAGCAGTGAAGGAATAAGTACAGAATGGCATCAAGTGTACCATAACCAGGAATTGCGATATACTGCAAGCTGAAAAGCCAAGCAAATATATCTGCTGAGGAATCACCTCAGAGAAACCGTCGTCACCTGGGGTCGTGCAACACCAAACTGCCTTGTGAGGGAAGGGAAAGTGAGGTAAAAAGAACAAGAGGGGGGGTGAAACAATCTTTTGTGTCTTTACTGAAACATCTGGGACATTTAGAAGATCTTTAAGTCAACTTAAATGTATGAAAAAAGCACATGACACTCATGATCAATTTCTGAAGTTGCCAATGAGCTGGTTTCATTTATGACTTAATTTTTTGATTTAGTTCTTTGAGTACTAGAAATTCTCTCCATACTGCAGCAACATGGTGGTAGTGGAGGAGGACAAATGAGCATTGTTGTCACAGCAAGCTGGCTTAGTCTCCTTCATGGCTAGGGGCTGGGATGATGTTCTACTAGCACAAGTTTTGGAGGAGCATCAATGTGATCCAGAAAGTCATTAAAGGGTTTGCTGTTCTTGTGTTCATTGCACACATAATGGTAAAAGGTAAAGGTAAAGGACCCCTGGACAGTTAAGTCCAGTCAAAGGTGACTATGGGGTGTGGCACTCATCTCGCTTTCAGGCCAAGGGAGCCGGTGTTTGTCCACAGAGAGCTTTCCGGGTCATGTGGCTAGCATGACTAAACCACTTCTGGCACAATGGAACACCGTGACAGAAACCAGAGCACACGGAAACGCCATTTACCTTCCCGCCACAGTGGTACCTATTTATCTACTTGCACTGGCGTGTTTTCAAAATGCTAGGTTGGCAGAAGCTGGGACAGAGCAACGGGAGCTCACCCCCTCTCAAGGATTCGAGCCGCCAACTTTCTGATCAGCAAGCCCAAGAGGCTCTGTGGTTTAGACCACATCCCACATACATATGTGCCTATGAACTATTACTGCTGATTTTTTAATGCTAAACTGGAATCACAGATTCACTCATGAGTTCAACAGTGGGCACTGACTTTAGACTCCAGTATTTTTTCTTCCCAAAGGGGCAAGCATTCTGATGGAATGGCAGAGAGGAAAGGCAGCCTTCTTTTGGACCTTACTGGTCTTTGTCAGTTTGTGTTAGAATATTTCCTAAATCCCTAAATTAAGGGATAGTTTGTCTGTAAAACAGACAAGCCATTGTCGCTATATGACGGGGGTGACTAGAGGTGATTTTATATGTCAACATCTATTTGTGGCTTTAACTATTCTACCTCCATAAAGTTATGTTTTTATTATAAAAACCTCTTATGCTGAAGACAGACGTAACATGCCAAGTGTGGAGAAACAGCTTGAAGTTTGAACAAACATTCACTGCACTCTAAGGCGTTTGTTTTCAGGGCAGAGAATATGTGTAGAAACCATGTCCATAACAGATTTAGAATGCCTGTCAGTCTGTCTTCACCCTCATCTTACTCCAAGATCCTGCAGATGGCTATAAATTTGTTTTTAAGGAAGTATTTCCCTATCAGCAGTGAGTTAAGGATTACTTTTTGAAATTGCACAGAATTGCCAACTAATGAGTGGACTTCTTTGATTACTCTTTCGTAATTGGGTGCAGCTGGGAAAGAATCAGCCACAAAGGGATCTTGATCTTGTTATTCATTAATTCAGACTTCATCAAATGAAGCCCTCATTCCATTGTCACCTTCACAGTTTGCCTTTGTCTGACGTAAGGCTCAGTTAACAGACTGAGACAAAAGTTCTTTTAATTCTTCAAGTAGCTCTTTTTTATTATTGTATATACAGCGAATCCTATGAGCGGCACTATTAAGCAGGTCATGTATAAGTCTGTAAGAATGAGATTTGTAGGGCTCCTGTTAGCATCCACATAACATCTGAGAGTCTGTTGAAATAGTTCACCAAGCATTGTGAATGGGGCAGTGACAATGGTGATTGTAATAGGAAGGTGAATCTTGTTCAAATGCAGCATCGCAGCAACATTATAAATTGTCCAGCCTCAGCAGTCAACTTTAATAAAAAAAAAGGTTCAGGCCTTCTGCACAGATCAAGGCTTCCTATGAAGTGTTACCTGAGTCCTGCAGACCACACACATGTCCATGTGTGCTTTTTTAAAAATCTGCATTGCAAACAGAGAATCTCTTATTTCCTTGAGTTCATTCAAATAGGGTATTTATTGCCAGAAAAACAAAAAAAGGGGGGGGGAATCTGAAGACAAGTGGGTAATGTCAGGTGAAATTTTAGAAGTCAAAGGGGGCTAAGCAAGCTTTTCCAGAGTTGGCTGAAGTGTCCAGAAGAAAATAGTAGAGACAGAAAAGGGAAAACATGTGGCCCTCCCTATGTTATTTATATAATACTAATAGTAGTAGTAGTAGTAGTAGTAGTAGTAGTAGTAGTAGTAATAATTTATTATTTATACCCCGCCCATCTGGCTGGGCTTCCCCAGCCACTCTGGGCAGCTGCCAGAAAAATATTAAAATACTGTAATTCACAAACATTAAAAGCTTCCCTGAACAGGGCTGCCTTTAGATGTCTTCTAAAAGTTGACCTTAACTCTCATAGGCTTCTTTCCATCTGGCCTGCGGGGGGGGGACCTGGAGGGCTCTATAAGGACTGCTGCTGTTGCTCAGCAGGGAGGGTTTCCTCTTTTATTTTTATTTTATTTTTAGTGTTTTAACTGTTTTTAACTGAGTTGTAAGGGCATTTTGTGGGATGTGCCTGGGAGGAAAGGAGCAGAGGAGAGCAGAGGAAGGCCCAATTACAGTGGTTCTGGATAGGGGGAGGTATGACATGGGAGATGGGGCAGGCCGGGTAAGGGGCACAC